CATTACATGGGTCTGAAATGGTACAACAAACAAACCAGGCTAAAGAGGTATAGCGATATTTCTCGTTACGTCGCCTATTGTTATAAATGTGCCAACCAGAGAACTTAATTGCCTGTTGAAACAAATACTTATTTTGTTTAATGGTTGGCGAATTTGAATAACAAAACAAATGTGTCGTAATGTTGATAAACAGTGAACACTCCAATATTCCGGACACAAGGTGCAAAACTTCATACTTTAGTACAAAAGTAAGAAAAACTACATGTAACAACACAGGCTTCCCAAGTTCGTGATAATTTTTTTTTTTAATGAATAAATTACTCTTGTTTTTATGTAAGCGCTCAGAGTGGAACGTGACTCTCTGAATTAAGCGGTGTTGTGTTACAATGTCGGCCGTTGGGAATTTGAGCGCTCTATAAGACGTTGTATGGCGATCGAAACAGCGTTTAATTTAAGCGTTCGATATGGTAAATTTTTGTCGTATTTTTATAAAAAGAAGTAAATGAACTCACCGGTGTCTGGTTTCTGTGTAGCTTTTCGGCTATTTAGGCGTTTTTTAGGCGTTTTTGGGCGATTTTGTCATTCCTGTCCTAGCCTTCATAAGACGTAGTCAAGGCTGCTCACCAGCGGACGCCGGAATCTCGACCAAGCGCCGTTCAAAAAGCCGTAACGTCCAGAAAATCGAACCGATCAGCTTAATGTTCCAGCCACAATTAAACATACATGACCAGACTTCCTTCGAAACTCTTCAATGTCGAAAGACCCCTTCTCTTTCCCCTCCAAAATAAGCTGACTTTTGCGGCCGATCCGAAAGATTCGCCTTCTCTGCAACCGCCTGTGATTTTCAAACTCGACACGGAGGTCAAATATTCCACATCCAGGGGTGGTACAAGCAATTAGGACAATAGAGCGAATCGTATTGCCACTGCGGGGGATGGTGTAAGTGTTGTATTTAACCGGGTTCGTGTCGAGTTTGAAAATCACAGGCGGTTGCAGAGAAGGCGAATCTTCGGATCGGCCGCAAAAGTCAGCTTATTTGGAGGGGAAAGAGAAGGGGTCTTTCGACATTGAAGAGTTTCGAAGGAAGTCTGGTCATGTATGTTTAATTGTGGCTGGAAATTAAGCTGATCGTGTTCGATTTTCTGGACGTTACGGCTTTTTGAACGGCGCTTGGTCGAGATTCCGGCGTCCGCTGGTGAGCAGCCTTGACTTCGTCTTATGAAGGCTAGGACAGGAATGACAAAATCGCCCAAAAAACGCCTAAAAACGCCTAAATAGCCCAAAAGCTACACAGAAAACCAGACACGGTGAGTTCATTACTTCTTTTTATAAAAAATACGACAAAAATTTACCATATCGAACGCTTAAATTAAACCGCTGTTTCGATCGCCATTACAACGTCTTATAGAGCGCTCAAATTCCCAACGGCCGACATTGTAACACAACACCGCTTAATTCAGAAGAGTCACGTTCCACTCTGAGCGCTTACATAAACAAGAGTAATTTATTCATTAAAAAAAAAAATTATCACGAACTTGGGAAGCCTGTGGTAACAACTCCTTTAGTTTAGTTTACTGTAACGATCACTGTTGCTAATGCGAATCTACTGCTAGATTAAACATATTTTTGTTTATATAGACAGTGTAAACTCTTTAAAACTATCTGCACTTTAAAACCATTTTATAAATACCAAACAGAAAACGTTTTTCCGTTGTCTACGAGAAATGCCAAATTTGTTCTAATTAAGTAAACAGTTTGCCTATTTTTACCTCCCCTACCAGCTCATACTGTTCATTTACCGACTTGGCCCTAACCCTATTACTGGCAATAAAACAAAAACAAAATGATGCGGTACAGAAGGTTTCGGATAGTTATACAACCAATTAAACAAATGACATGTCGCCTATTGTTATTCGGAGCCAGCCAATGTGATGGAACGTGTAGAATGTGCGCTCAAATGTGGCAGTCGTGCTACGCGACACTTAGATATATTTTACATAACGTAAAGAATATGGAAATCTGGCTTCGAGACAAATCATGATCTCCTTCTGTCACCAAAGAGAGGCGAAATTTCCAATATCAGCACCGATCCAATCCTATTCAATCATCAGTTTCTATAATGAAAGGCAAAGAGGAAAAATAAATTAGATGTTAAAATGTTATACGAGTAATTAAACATAAGGAACCAAAAAAAACTATAAGCATGAATAATTTTCCAGATATGCCGTGGAGTCATAACATCTATATTGCGGAAAAGGAGAATATAACAATATTTTGCTACAACAAAACCTTCTCACTCTTTCATATGGGATATAGCAAAGTTTTATAATGACTGCATAGTCCATCAAACGTGCCTGGATGATAAGTGTTAGGTCAACTTCCTTGATTTACAAACTAATAATACTGCTACAGTAAATACTAACATATTATTGAATGTAAAATAAAACATATTGCATATTATCATTATCAGTCGTCACTGCTCGTTCATACTCTTTAAATGCCTTAAATAAAAAATGGCGCGTGTTTTCATAGCCTGATGCAAACACGAGAGACAGTTTGGGAGAATAGTCCATTTTACAGTGAACAGAAGTGAGGCTGGAGGTGACTTTGTTGTGATACAAAACCTTCCTTCTTTTAAAATGTAAATTATTCTGATCTCTATCATCTCATGGTCACCTCTAACCTCGTTTTCATACAGAGGCTTGGTTACATTTCACAGAACTGTAAAATGGTCTGTTCGAAACTTGAAATAAACCCGAGCCGCAGATGAGGGTTTACATATTAAGTGCTTTCGAATTATCCCAAACTTTCCCAAGTGTTTTTATCAAGCATGTCAACAAAAATCGGCCGTTTTCTATTTCTTTAATTTTATAAAATAAAGCCAACAAAATGCAACGATGCGTCATAACTGTGTTACATAGCCTCCTGCAAAAAGAATACGTGACTAATCAGCGCGCGTATTATATAACCACAATAATAATAATATTGAAACCAAGGGTCCTGCGCGACCTTGAACTGCTGTAAAGAAAATTGTTAATTTTGGACATGTGATCTCACCGGAATTCGCAGAATGTGCCCGTGAATCCAGAAGCACACTGACAGCGGTATCCCTTTCTTGTAAAACCGGCTTGACAGGTTGCTTTGTTCATACAGGGTTCACTATCACAGGGATTCTTTTAAATAGGAAGAAATAAATGAGAGGTTTTAAATTAAAATTTTGTCGATAAGTTGTATTGTGCTTAGTCCTCCCATTGAATAATTTCTCAAACTTGCATTGAGCATAAGCAATTTGCAATTTGTAATCAAGTATTAAAAAGCGTTAAAATAGTTGGGTTAAATGAACCATAGTTATATGAATGAACATAAACATTATTTGATTTGCAATAGTTTCCTAACTACTAACGTCGTTTTCCAAACTCGTCTTGTTATGTTTATGGTGGATAATGAGGAAAATCAGCTAAGAAAATCATATGAAAACATGGCCGACCATGGTTTTGAAATATGAACTTGCGTCGGGTGGCCAAACGAAGTCGCACGTTTGCTGTCGAGTGCACGCAACTCGCCAAAAAGCCATTTCGTGCGCGTGTTGCAATTCAAACTAGATTGAAACAACAAAACTCCTTGCGTTGGGTGGCCAAGCGGTGAAAAGGTTTGCGCGCAAATTTTATCTCGATCAAAGTGAACGCAAGTCGTCGCAACTACGCGCAAGCCCTGGCCAAGCGAAGTACTTGCGTTTCCGTTTGGCCAGGGCTTAACATCTTCCCCAAAAATGGATATTGACTATTGAAAACAAAAACTATTGGATTATTGTAATTATCATTTTATTTTATTTTTTCAACTTACCTTTGTCCCACGATATTTGGATCCGTTTTGAATCTTGAGATCATCCGGGTGTCCATAATGTGTAGAATTGTTCAATTCGCAATTGTAAGGACCAAACGCGGAATCCTTAAAATTGTAACTGACGCAATTGTTTTCCATAAAGCATAGCGCTCCGCAGAAGTGTTCATCCATTACGTCGACTGCTCTGATCACGTGACCTTGAAGTGCTTTGTTTTTCTTGTAAATAACGAATCGTAATTCCCGACATGGCTCTAAAATAGATAGATAGATAGATAGATAGATAGACAGACAGACAGACAGACAGACAGACAGACAGACAGATAGACAGGCAGGCAGGCAGGCAGGCAGACAGACAGACAGACAGACAGACAGACATATAGATAGATAGATAGATAGATAGATAGATAGATAGATAGATAGATAGATAGATAGATAGATAGATAGATAGATAGATAGATAGATAGATAGATAGATAGATAGATAAAACACTTTTTAACGTGTCAATGCCTTATAGCCTAAGTGACAAATGATTAAAAAATATGACGTTCTTTCGTTGCTTAACTATTTCCGTTTAACTTATTTCATCCTGCATCCATTGCGCGCCGAAGTACATTTTTCATACACCTATTTCAATTAACGTTGTCGGATAGAAATGTTTTTTAACGCCCGCAAGACAAGACCGAAAGGTATCATGGGTAAAAGTAGTAAACTGCTGCACGCCCCGAATACTAATGAGAAGAAACATGAAAAACATAATTTATAACGTTTCCTTTTTGTTTTAAACCTTTAGAAGTAAGCTACTTCTAGTGAAAAAAAAACATGGAAAAACAAATTATTTAATTCGGGCAAACCAAATACACCACGTACGAAATAAAAACGTGTCGATTTATGTTCCATTGATATGCAAATTCTTAACTAATGAATACACAGGCTACTATTCGGTCTTGTCTTGTAGGCTTCTACTTCGCTTCTATCCGACAACGTTAATTGCAATAGGTGTATCTGAAAAATGTACTCTTGACACAGACAATGACACTGAGACCCTGGAGTAAGTACCGGTGAATTATCAGGATAACCTGGAAAAATGTTGTTATAACGTTGCCCTTTTTGACATTAAATTCTTCAATTTACATACTGTGCCACATAGGGTCGTGGGAGACGCGGTGGCCTAATGGTTAGCGCATTGGACTCCGGATCCAGCTTTCCGGGTTCGAGCCCTGGTCTTGGTCAATATGTTGTGTTCTTGGGCAAGACACTTTACTTTCATATTGCCTCGCCTCTCCACCCGAGAGCAAAAGGTAACCGGTAAATTGTCAGTGCAATCTGAAAAAATGCTGGGGGTTACCTGCGATGGATTAGCATCCCATCCAGGGGAGTAGTGATGCTCTTAGTCATTTGATGGTATGGCTGAAACCGGAGTTACGCCACTAGGCTTGTACATACACATGTCAGTACAATTGAACTTTAACCTTTAGATACAACTGCTGAACAGCTGCGGTGTTAGGTATTGCAGTGCCATTAACTTACCATGGCAACCATAAAGCTCCATCCTCATTGATATATGACCAGACCAAGTAACTGGAAGCACCCGGATGTACCTCGCTCTGATTGGTGGGCTGAGTGGGTTATATACAATAGTATCTTGATCAGAATTTCCTTGGAATACCTAATATGGCATAACCATAAAGATAGCAATCAATCACCTTAAATATATCTGAGCGGATTTGAAAAAGAACATGGTAGTGTGGCCATCGGCCTCATTCAAGCTACTGTGGTCGTTCACAATTCAGGGGGGCTTCCGTCAAGGCTTTCACTGTGACGTAGCCCTGAGGGTGGCTATCAGCTGGTGGTTTTCCGCCGACCAGGTGCTCAAAGCAGGGAGGTTGGGAGTGGTGTTTTGGACACTAAGGTTGTCGGGCTTTATGTATTTTTGGTCCGAATTAGGACTGTCTCGCCCCAGTCCAGTACACTGTTGTAAATATTTTCTGAGCAGGAATTGGCTTACCTACAGAGGTTGGCCAGTCCTGCAGTTGCGCATCTGCAGGTCATGTGCCAATCTGGAGGGCTTGGTGGGTGGGTGAGTGGGAAGTTGTAGCGGTTTCAGTGCATTTTAGGTCCTGCTGCCACGTTCTTTCAACTCCGGTCAGATATACAAATTACTTTTTATTTGAAAATAAGCAGCTACTGAATTAGATTGCAGTTTGCAGTTTAGATTGCAGTTAAGGAAATCGTCATCCCAAAACCAACCATTCAAATGAAATAAACATGCGAAGGAAATTCATTTTCACATGAATGGTTGTGCACGAGGACTCGTCTTGAAACAGAGGCAAAGACAGCTCGGAAATGGCCTATTGCCATATTGTACGTCCACAAATGTAAGATTGGAATTTGTTCATTGCCAATCTTTTTTGCATTGTATTAAAGTGACGTTAGGACAATTCGGCAAACCTTATCTGCTTGTTGTTCTTGCTGTTGGTAAAATGCAAAGGAATCTTCATTGTTGCTGTGTTGTAACTTATAACTGGTCACCCACTGTGCGTGTGCATTTCTTCCTTGAGTCGCTATACCAGTCAATTCCATGTCAGTTTTCAGATCCACCTGTAGCCATTGGCTCTGATCATTGGAAGCCGTTGACCATGCGCCTTTCTTGACTGGACCTGCCTGAAGGTTAAGCCTTGCCCGTGACGCAGCGTGATTTCTATCATGTTCCGAAGAGGCTGATAATGCAGAATCTTCAATTTTACCACTTTCCATTCCAAGTGCTTCTTCGCATTCTTAGAAAAACAACATAATTTTGGTTATATAACAAGTGTCCAAGTCCAGCTGGAGGAGGACTTCCAGAGGCATAACTACATTTTCAAAACCTGAACTGAGAGCAAGCTTTACGGCTTAGCAAAGGACCAGCAGGAATGAAGAGACTTTATTATAATGGCAAATGCACTTAGCTCAAGGCTAGTTTACAGGCATGTGAAAGTGCCCATTAAATGTGCCAGTCTCATTTTGTTGGCGCAAATTCATTTTCACCCCTAAAAGGTACCAATTCTAAGACAAAACTAGTCCCTAGAACTCCCTGCCGGCGAGAATAGCTCCAACCGAGAAGGCCCTGTGGCTGATGTTACATGCAATAGTTGATCTCCAGCTCACCACACCAAGTTTTTCGTTGCCTTTTTAAATATTGCAAAACTGAAAACTGAGTGTCAAATAAAAACTATTTAAAACATGGACAAACATCAGGCCGGCATTTTCGAATTGTAGAAATAGAAAGTAAGTAGTCCTGTAGCCTGCGAGCAAGCTCTCTTTGCGTTTTTTGGGGGAAAAGAGAAAGAGCGGGGAAAGAGAGCTTGCACTAATGTCTCCAGCTTTTGAGCTATCAAAATTTGGTCAATTGAAACTTCGTGGTCGTCTCAATTTTCTACGTAACGCAATGCCTTGTATTCTATCTCACACGCTCGAAAGTCGTTTCTCGAAAAGTACTAAACGGGGCGAATCGAAAAACATCTCTATCGATAGGGGTTTCAAAGCGCAGGACAGCTAGAATATTTGTTCCCCGTTTGTTAGAAATTCCGCTCTGAAATTTCTGTTGCAAGATTTTGCATATTTAATTACAAAAGCCAGTGTGTAGTATTTCCCAGTATGCTACGAAAAATGTTGTTTCTCCGGAACTACCGTACCATTTGACTCGAGTTATTTGTCAAAATGTCCCAAAAAATAACAATTTTTTTGGCAATGGCAGTAAATTGGTTATTTGAAATAACCATTTTTAACGAGTGAATGCTTTGCATGAACGAAGTTATAGCGTATAGCGGACAAATTTCACTCGCTCGATCCCTCGATCACTCGATCCCTTGGTCGATGGCCACTAGGTTGTAAACTTTAATGTATGCGTAGTACGGTAATTTATGCATTATCAGTAAACAAAATGGCGTCTGGCGCGGATCTCTTCTATTTTTCAACACGGTATTTTCACTCGTAAGTACTAAAACATGGAATTCGAAATTGAAAGAAATAACCCTAAATAATACTCGACCGCCCAAAGAGGAGACATTTAGAATATTAAAAGTGAGTCACGTTTGAAGTTCTTCGATCGATTCAAGGCTGCAATGCTGATCAAGGCTCAAGCTGTCGAAACTTAAACCAAGCTACGGACTTCAAGACTTAGGAAAACACTAAGTATGTTAAATGTTGTATCTTCTTTATACCAAGTGTATGAATAAAATGTAATTTATCTGAATCATTCTATATTTTCTTTTGTAGCACTACCGGAATTATATGTTCTTTTGTTTGCGTCTGAACTATAAAAACCCTTCAATGCTTTTTTTCCAGCGTATATATTTAAAGCGTACTGATATTAGTTCCTGTGTTTCTCATACTTGCGGGGAAAAAAAAAAAAAAAAAATGTATCCGCCGGGATTCGATCTCGCGACCTTCGATTCACCGAGGACACCGAGTTGCTGTTGTCTTGAGCTGGAAGTGGCTTGATTTACTCACGAAATGACTGGTTTCAGTGGCTATGTTCATCTTTTCTATTCATGGATCTATTTAGACGCTCGACAGTGTTTTTTGCTCAATCTCCATATTTCCTTGACGTCGGCGAATGGACTCGAATGGACTCTTAGTCAGCGCGATGGACGATGTTATCATACGCAATGGTTGAAATAATTTTAAAATATTATTATCGGAACGAGGAAGCGTTGTGTGACGGAGGACAAAAACATCAGGTTTACCTTTTATTTTCATAGTATCTCAATATGTTTTTTTTAATAGGAGAGCAAACCCATTTTTGATAATTTGACTGTAGCTAATTTTAGTCCAAGAATTGCAACTTCATAGATAGCTGTAGTATTTTTCTGTCCAAGAGTTTCGTGTATGACAGAACTGAAGACGAATGAATGTTTACATATAAAATTAATTTTATATTGTGCGTGCGAAGCACAGACTACACAAACAAGATCAGAATGTTTTGAAATGATTGAAATATTTTATTTCACGAACAGCAACTTGCTTTAAAATAAAACTCAAACCAGTTCGAACATATTGGCCGAATATTTAAACGACGTCTAAAAAGTATTAGGCCATGGTTTTGTTAAACCCTGTGTAAACCTTGTTTTTAAAAATATTCGGCCCATAAAGTTGGCGATTATCGAATATCAGTGATTAAAGACTTTTCGTTTGAGTTTCCCTCCCGACCAACACTGATTTGGAGTGAATACGAAATACACCGGCTTGCGTGAATGCCGCGCGGAATCTATTGTTCTGTTTCGAGAAATAAATCGTTTCCTCGAAATCCCTATTCGAGTCAGACTCAAAACTCGAAACTCGATCGATTCTCAAAAACATCGAGGACGAGACTGTCAACTTACATTTACCCGGTTCTACATTTACCCGGTACTACTGCATATTTCTATGTTAATTAATTTATTTACTTTTCCATTCACGAGTTGGCACATAGTGCCTTTGATTGGTAATGGCAGTAAATTGGTTATTTGAAATAACCATTTTGAGAATTTCATTTTCAATTGGTTGTTTTGAATACTTAAATAAGCTAACGTTGATAACGGATGGTTATATCAAATAACCAAAATTTATCCCTGTTAAGAAATTTTAATTATTTGTCATAACCATTTTGGCATCATGGTTATATGATATAACCATTTAAATAATGATAAAAAGCACTCAGTTTCTGCTAAATAATAAATTTACAAACGGCGTTCCATAGAATCCTGCATTCTCGCAATGGCAACGAAAAATTTTGTTCGGTCTTCGTGCTCGCAGTGTCGGCTTGCGACGCAACTTATTTTCAACATTATTTTACTGGCACGCCAAACAGAGTGCAGTGGACTAATCATTCAACACACAACTTTAATTTGGCTGCTTTAGTTTCGCAACGAAATAAAAGCGTAACATTGTCTGTTCTAAGCAGAGCATTTGAACAATTAGTCAACATCATGCCTGACTTATTTTAAGGTAACTCGACGGTTGGAAGAATATATATCGATTCTCAGTTTCTTTTTGATAAGCATTCTGTTAATGAAAATTATGGCAACATTTCAGCCAAAATTAAGGTGTTATAATCAGTCAGTGACACAATTGCAAGCTACTCGGATTTTTTTTTCGAGTTCTCCCAACAGGAGTCAAACCTACATGTATGACTAGACTGCAAAACAGTCCATATTTTAGCGCAATAGTCGGGCTTAACGGACATCATTCTCGTCCCCGGAGGCATAAACCAA